GTCTGCTATCATGTAATGCGACTTCGGGCAGATGCACGACTCTACCTTTGTTTACCAGTTGGAACGGGGTAACAGGGACACGCGTAGAACTGGGAGGGTGTGATTAGAATTCAGTCACAGATAACGGCACCGAATCGAGAAACTGTAACAAATAGAATCGATTTTTATCTTTTAGAGAGTTACATGCTCTTTTATAGGCTGAGAAAATTCTCTGAGCCTCGGGCTTGCAAAATCATTTCAAAAACAAATGGATGAACTGAGAGAGAGTGCAGCGATGTGGTCTTAGGCGCAGGTTAATTCTGCATATGTGGACTTTGATCGCGCTGCACGAGTATTCATGCTATATTATCTGTATCTACTAATATATCGCTAAGCTCACAGGATTTTGCACAGCAAAGCGACACTGATACAGGGCGATTTTAAGTCTGTCTGTGGTGTTACGTTCTTACGTTTGGCTCGACAGCAAAATGAACACCATTTTATTAAAAGGCGGCAGCAATAGCCTGCTAAATATAATAGCAGAGAGTACCCTGGTCAGCAGTTGAATTTCCATTATCAGCTCCTAAGCCCTGCAATTGTGTATGTGTGAACTGCATGTGGTCTCGGTGGTCACTGCTGTCTCTGTGGGTGTCTGGCCTCAAGGAAAGCCAGGTGAGCCAGTGGTGCAGTATCGTCCCCGGTCTATTTGACGAGGAGACCTCATGCAAAATTGATGTGAACCTCAAGGTCACGAGGAGTTCATTCAGAGCATGCTCAGCTCAGTCTGTGCCTGCAGCACACCGCAGCAAATAGGACTGTTCTCCTGGACTCTCTCTCTGTGACTTACTGTAAGCTCCTCTCTGCCTGATGTGGTGTTGGATTCAGTGTGTTTCACTCAGCGCACTAACATTAAGAACTCTGGCTTGCCAAACTCTTTTACTGATGCAGTAAAAGAGTTTAAGTGTTTTATTGAGTTGCCAGGTTGGGAAGAAAAAAAACCCTCTTTCAGCATGACTCTCTGTAATTCATCTTCTCCTTTAAATCCATTTATAACAACCTATTATCACTGACAGATACAGATTACTGTAAGAACCCATAACAAATCACTTACTAGAATTTGAAACTGAAGACTTGAACATTTTTTTGTCTTTTTCAGTGACTTACTCTGAGAGAACTTTTGCTCCCAGTTTATTTGACAGCATGAACCCATAGTTCACTTATATTATATTATCTCTTATATTGATACTTAATAACATCCATATGAATGATGTATTTTTTTATTTAAAACCGTTTATTAATGGATACATTTTGTGATAAAACGCAACACCTTTGCAAAATGTTGAGCTTTTACAAACACCTTACATTTATGACAGCTAATATGTGTAAAAGCTTTTATTAATAATCTAAAATTGTCAATCTGATTGATTATTGGAAACTGCAGACACGTTTATTATACATGTGATGACGGTTCATTCACACATATGGAAAGTAAGACTCATAATTTAACTGTCATTATTGAGTTAATAACATTAAAAACTCTTGGTCCTAGTTTATGTGTACTTTTATGTGTTAAAGACTAACTGCCTTTAATTTTAAAAAGCTGAAACATTCATTTTTCTTATGCTTTTATAAGTTAGAAACTATAGATTTGTTAATGTACAAATTAGAACATTTATTTATGTAAGTGATGCAATTTTGATCTTTCCTGACAACTTGATGTCATCATTTGGAAGAGTTCAATAAGGTAAAGTACAAAAACATCTGTAAAAGCCATTGTCAATAACAAAATGCAGTGTAACACAGTCTACATTTAAATAGTCGGTAGTTAAAAATATCGAATATACAAAGCATCAGTAAATTTATTAATCACTAATAAAATTCAGACTTTCTAAAAATGATTGTATATTATACAGACACATTTTTGATGGGCATGATCTGAATTGTCTATAAAATAGAGTGATCACTGATTTTGAATGGTGACTGAATGAATGTATGTAAATAAGTAAGTGATGAGGGAAATGCACGCATTGATTATCAGGTACTACATGCAGGAATTCTGCAGAAAGCAGGTGAGACTGAGACGTCTGTCACATTTTCTCAAATGAAATAAAATTCAAATAAACTGTAAAATAAATTTAACAGGTGAAAGTGGAAAATCTCACTATGTGCACATCCGAGGCCCACAAAGCTGTGACAGAGCACTCCATTAAGAGATAGGTACATTTCTACTTTCTTGTCCCTTTGATGTAAAGCAGTGCAGACTGGTTGGGTCTATAGAGATGTTTTGCACAGCGTGTTATGTGGATGTTCTTTCATATGTTTTCAGAGCTTACACTGTCACCATGGGAAAAGTTGCAAGAGCGGGCTCATTATTTAGCTCAAAATTGGACGGTAATGGCAAACACTGGCATAGCTGCATCCTGCAATGACTAAAGGACAGCGCATGTTACACAAGACTGTGCTTACAAGAAGTCAGCATCCCTTTTGCCCTTGTTGATATTTCCTTATCTATGAATCCCATACAAAAAAAAAGGTTCCCCAGGTCTGCTAATATCAAAGCTTGTCTCAGATGTTTGTGCAGCACAAGTGGGTGGGTGGCCTACTGATTGTGTTGGTGGAGCAGAGGCACCATCGCTGTCTGCTCCATGGGTGTGTGATCTGTCCAGGCTACCCACCTTCCTTTCCCATTAAGTTCAATCATGCTGGGTTGCTGCAAGTCTGACTAGCTTCTCATCCACACCGGCACCCACGGTGTGGGACGGAGAGATTTCGCAGGTCTTTCCTCCCCACTGCTGTCAGACTCCACAACAAAGACTTTAACTGAAGAAACACACACATCCACACATGTGCAATAACACTAAGTGCAATAATCCTTTCTGGCATCGTTGTATTTTTACTCAGTTGTATATAGCATTCGTATTCTATTTTTATCTTATTGTATATTTTTATTCTATTTTATTCTACTGTATATAGTATATTATTTTATTCTATTCTGTACAGTTGTGTACTGTATTTATTCTTATTGTATTCTAATTTTTGCCTCATAACTTTTGCACTGTCCACTTCCTGCTGTGACAAAACAAATTTCCCACGTGTGGGACTAATAAAGGTTATCTTATCTTATCTTATCTTATCTTATCTTTGCCATTTAACCTCCTCTCGCACATACAATAATCCTCCCTTTGGCACAAACAGAGGAAGAATTGGACAGTGGAGAATTCAAATGGAGGCATAAAGGGACATCATGAGCAAATAGTGAAATGGTAGTGTTTTATTTTGAACGCCTGTGCTGTCAGATATATTCTTGGAAACCTGAGCTTTTTCAAGTTCAGGACATTTAAAAGTAATATTGTTGGAACAGTGACAAAATCAGTCAGATTAAGTGACGGGCACAGACTGTTAGATGATAATACAGGCTACGAGATGAAAGACAGCTTCGTCTTTTGTAATCTGTCAGGGAGGAAACTGGGGAGAACCACGAATGGCTTTAGGAATATATGAGGCATCATCCTAACTGCCTGCTAGTTTGCCTAGGAAGGAACAGATGTATATTGATTTTTTTTCCCCCCATGTCACTGGAATTGTCATTTTACAGTCCTGTTGCAAAGGCAGCATTACACATGGCATTAAAATATTTCTTTACTTCTAAAATAGTTTGAGGAACTCTGATTTTTTATCAGTGTTAACGCTCTGTGATGCTCTGTACCGTATAGGAGTTTTGCATCTCCTTGAAATCCAGTGAAATACATATGAAGTGTTTTTATTATTCAGCGTGAACATTATTCAGTGTTTCCTCTCTGATGGTAGCTGTGATTAATAGCTGTCACTTCCTGAATTCTGTTTGCATGACAGAGTGTCTCGTGACCTTTCTTTGAAGGAAATGGTCTGTAGACAATGCAATATGAAAGTGTCAGAAAGCAATAAGTCAGAAACACAAAAGCACAAACAGAAAACTAATTAGAAAGCACTCAAAGAATGCATAAATCTGCCAGAGCCGCACAGACCTTTACATTTGTAATTCTCCAACCACAAAATGTTTACACATTTTATTTTCCATTTATATTTCAATTTGCATCAGATTGCACACATTGTAGGCATACAGTCATAGTATTTCTTTTTCATTTACATCTACGCTACAAAAACTCCAATGTCTACAGCCACGATGGCTGCTTTATGAAGTTGTGCATATACTTTGAACAGAAGTAAATGTAGCAGTATAGATACATAGATATCTTCACAGTGGGAAAGGTATGACTTACCTGTAATCAGGATCATTTAATACCATAAAAAGTAGCTGTAAATCCAGATGACATGTGAGAAAAGTATTTAATTATATTATTTTACAGTTACTTTGCCATTGATTACTTGATAATGTTTCATTGCATCTTTAAATTATGGAAACTAAATCTTAAACAAGGAACGCAGTCTAAGTGCAGGTATTTATGTCAGTGCTTTGTCAGGGTAATCTGATTTGACCAAATATCACATGACCAGTACTTTATACTGCATGCCAAGGTGAGGACGTCAGTATGTTTGTTTTTGTTTTGTTCACCTTTTTCACATGTCCAGATAAGATTTTAAGCAAACATCAGAAAAGCAAACCTTTTTTCTTTCCAGACATCTGGCTCGCAGACTTTTAAAGCGTACCAATCCTCCTCTGTGGAGGTAATTAAAAATGAGATGAAATAAAATCCACTTCTTCATGCAACTAGGAGAAAATCAATATTCACCACAGATGATTTGCTGGGTTTTGGAAATTTGCCTAAATTAACAGCAAAACAGAATCCTTAAATGAAGTCAAACTGAAGTCTACTGAAGTCTAAAGTGACAAGAAATGCTTTCTTTGTTCCTAACTCGCTGCAAAAGCTGTTCGCATTTCTGCATTAATAATACAGGGCCCTGGTCTTATTGCTCACCTTTTATCCTCGCAGCATGATGTGGGCGGACTGATCAAATCGATAAACGCTGCGAGTGTTCATCTCCAGGGGGCTCAGCTACTGATTGTGTTTGCGTTTTTCCAGATGGTCACTAAACGGAACACTCATTGATCTTGGGAATGACTACCGGCGTCACATGTCTGGGGGCAGCCTGATCATTAGCAACCTGGACAAGGACCAAGACACCGGGGTGTACCAGTGCACAGCTTTCAACACGTGGGGGTCCATACTCAGCCGCAGAGCCAGCCTTCAATTTGCATGTAAGTGATCCTACAATTGCTAACACATTCCTGGCATGGTTCTGACACACTTATGACATTCTAGCATCTCTTTGTATCTGCTGTCTGACAGCCTGACATGAGGGTAATATGCTTGCAGCCCAGGCCTTCCTTCTTTTTTTTTCATTTACTATTACGATTTCTCATTTAGATTGCCTGGGAATAGATTTTCAAGAGGGGAAATGGTAATCGAATGAAATGTCAGATACAACAAACACAGTGGGTGAGGAAGCTTCTGACTGCTTCTGAACTCCATTGATTCTCATTAGCGGTTCCAGCTCTGACAGCATCTATGCTCCATCCAAACTGCCTCATATTTCACCAAGTGCAAGCCTCTGTGATACAGACTTTAAAGCGGACAAACACAACTAACGCTTAAGAGGTCTTTGTGTCTATGCAATCACCAGCTACTTCTTTATGTGTAATATGCGCAGAAGACTGTAAGTGGATCAGACAGTAGCAGGACTGCTGCTATAGCAGCCTGCGAAGACAAAAGGGGCTGAGAAGTGATGCTGTTGGTTGTGGTCCCACCTTCCAGACAGGCAGTGTAGAGGCACCTCTCCTCTCTTGATCAGGCCTCCTGACTATTGATCATGTCCCAAGGATAGAGAGCCTTTCACTTCCTCTCAGGAGATGGACTGCCATTATCCCTACAGCTCAGTAATGAATCTCACTCGTGGGGACTGGGTGAAGAGGAGAACGGCTTGACATTTATTGTCTTGCCTAATGCACAGTGAGGGAGGTCTAGAAGATCAGCAAGGCTGATATTCAGTTTTTCCATGTAATGAGGCTACTGCCCTAAGATAGAAATGTCGTGCTTTCTTTTGCTTTGCTTAGCCTTCACAATTCAGCTGCAACCACTGTAAGCATATCCTCCCACAGCTCATTTTTACAATGTAAAAAAATGTTCCAAATTAATTTAAAATACTGTGATTTAAAAAGTCTGCTTTCATACAACCAAGGTCAAACTCATTTATGAGATCTGGGAATTCAGAAAAAAAAAGGCCACTTATATGATCACACAGGTCTCAAACCCAGTGGTTTGAATTACCATTGTCTCTTTATATCTGTATTTCATGAATTACATATTAGCAGAAGGGGATCTGCAGCAGTTATTTTCCTGTTTCAGTCTTTGGAAGAGCTGTGGCTTAAAAAATAATACAAGCTCCTTACGTTTGATGATAGGATAGATTTTATTTTTCTGCAGAGTTGATTTTTTACGCATTACATACATTCACAGGGGCTAAGAAAGAGTCACGCTGTGAAAATTGGCATACAAGACTCACTGACCATTGCTTGATTCTCTCCTGACAGTCAGAATGTGACACAGCTGTTCCTATTATTTAAACAGTCAGAATAAACTGCTGGCTTCTTTACAACTTGTCACATTGTCATGTTTCTTTCCTTGTCAGACGTTTTTTAAAGCAATGCTGGTGCAGACAGAGATAGAAATTGTGTCACTGGGTACAATTTTACCAGAAGCTTTGGAAAAATAGTACGTCATATGCTTAGAGACCAGTGCTGTATTGCCTGAGTAGCAGGTAAAGGAGCTTACTCAAGAGCTCAGTAGGACACAATATATAACAGGGAATGTCTCTATGGCGCCGCCGTTGCCCAGACCAATCATCGTCGAGCTGTAATGGTCACTCTGTAATCTCTAGGCAAGCCATTCTCGTATGGCAAAGACTGATTCTGCTTACAAAGGAATCACTGAAGCTACAGTGAGTTTGGCCTTTAGCTTTCAGAGTTACAGTGTGTGGTCAGTTCACTCCAGTGAAGCCCATTATTCTTTTTCCCAGCAAAGAAAGAAGCACATCCCCTCCAGCACCGAGTCCAGCTTCATCTTCACCCGTCTCTGTGCAGTTTTGTAAGAAGAGGCGCCATCTGTTTCTCTTTCACTAAGTAATTATTAGTAAACCTCTGATTCACCTTCCCCTGCTTCTAAAGGTCCTGCCATTATTATTATAAACAGCTGTTGCCAGGCTTGTTGAGCAGTTGCATCCATAAATGTCTGAACCTTGCCACAATTTTTGTTCTTTTTGTTTAGTGGTTACAGTTGCACTTTCCAATATGTGCATATTTTCAGGTGTCTAATGTAGTTGTAGTTGATGCTCATTTGTAATACTTAGCTACTGGTAAGAGGCAGGGTACGTGCCTCTCACCAGTAGCTAAGGAAGAATGAATTTCTGATTAATGCTTTTCACTTTTTTCACACATCTTCAGATGCTACTTTGTGGGTCTAACTTAAAATTTCATCTTCAGCAAGTGATAAGCAACTCAATAAGACTGGGGACAGGTGATTGGCTCAGACATTGCATAACTGCACTTATTTGGCTTCAGACACTCCTGAGTTGGTTTTGAGTCTCTAAATATTTTGCTGCATTTATGTGAATCTGAGCCGTAAGAGCAGAACTGTTCACTTCAGAATGAATCCAGCTGCTTCTGTCTTCTGTCAGTGAGAACAGTGTCTTTGCATCACACTGCCCTCGCTGTGTTTTACACAGGATGTTGTGTGCTCGGGATGGTCTTCACAGTTTTTACCTACCTTATTTTGATAAAGGCTGATCTTAGTTTCAGCTGATTTGGTAAGATCCAATCAGGCCTTTCAATTTTTGAGACCGATCAGTATTTTACTCATCACTTTTGTGTTTTCTCTCACAAAGTCTTGGTTTTATGATTGAATTGGAAGAGAAACACCAACCTCCTGAGCTGAATAGTGAAGGGGCTTTTCGCCATGGAAAGGATCCTGCGGTTGTTTTCAGCAGACATCCAGGCCTTTTTATGTTGATGAACTCATTCTTTTCTCTCGGAATGTCCCAAACTGTTAATTTGGCCTCCCCCTAATGTTCCCACTATCTCTCTGATGTATTCACTTTGTTTGTAAAGCCTGAGGATGGTCCTTTTTTTTCCAATTGCATGCTCCTTTGACCACATGCGGTTTCACAGAAAAAGCTTCCAAATGTAATTGCCACATTTGGAATCAGCTCTAGTCCTTTTACCTGCTTAATTTGTGAAGAAATAATCCAGAAATTGGCCACAACTGTGGGAAAAAAAAATCCATGCGTTTGTTGAATTAAACAGTCTAGGTCCGTATTCATTATATAAATGTTTTAGTGCACATCTACCAAAGATTTGATCAGTACGTACCACTGTACGTTTCTTGCTCCAACACGGTTCCTGAGAATCCTAAATGTCATTTGAAGATCGACTCTCTTATTGACATTTCTTCTAAAGACAACCTAGTGAGATCAGGATGCCTCTGTCTGTATTTCAAGTCAGCCATCTCCTCCCGTGGCCTTCTAAGTGTCCTGCCGTGACTTGGCTCTGTTTGATTTCACTGCGGTCATCAGAGAGCCGCTCATTAATCTTACCAACACTCTGTCCCACTTCTCTCCATAATCTTCCTTCTCCTAATTTCCCTTATCGGTCACACTGACTTTCTTTTGTTTGTGTTTGGAAGGCTTACTCCAGGCTGTTAGCCAGAGGGTGCAGACAGAGTACAGAGCGGACTGCAGCAGCTTCCCTCCATCAGTCATGAAGCCAGGGGTGGTTTATCATCCCAGGTTTAGTTTTTGTCTGCCAGCAACTGCTCATTCATTTGCAAGGGGATAGATTGTGCTGAGAGTATTGATGGGGAAGCTAATGCTTTTAAGTGCAAGATTACACCACATTTAATAATGATGTTACTTATTGCTGCTGGCACTGCAAACTGTCATTTGTCATGCGCGCTCACCAGTGTTTGTTCAGTCTGTGCACAGTATTTTCTTCTTTCCCCTGCTCGTTTGATCTTATTTCAGCCTAATCTCTTCCTAAAGTGCAGCGTTGCAGGGTAAACGTCACAGAGTCAGGTCCGTCTATTTCATCAGCACACCAGATGCCTTTGAAAGTATTGGAGGCTGTCATGAGGTGTCCCAGGGCAATCAATGATGCCCTATAAAGTCCCAATCTTCAAAATGTAGCATCAAAAACATGGCTCAGTGATTCTGTGAAGGGAGTTTGGGGAGAATTATGCCCCCCGTTTTCAAAACTATCTCTTTAAAAGTAACCCTCATGGATATAGAAAATCTTTGAATCACACTTTTTGGTCAATCTGACTGTCAGTCGTATTCTTTTAAACCGCCACCCACTTCTGTTTCAATGTTTTCTGTCTCATCAGACCTGGATAACTTCAAAACTCAATCAGTGAGGAGTGCTGTCAATGTGCGTGAAGGCCAAGGAGTGGTTCTTTTATGTGGACCACCGCCACATTCTGGAGGTAAGTTTGCTATATGTTGTTGTTATTTAAACACAGCTCATAAGAATTACCTCCACTGAGTGCAAACTGCAAACATTGATGAATAATTACTGCCTTTTCTTAAACGTAATCCAGTTTTACACCCATTAATGTGTGCACATGCTCTTAGTAATCATCTTAATGTTGTTTATTGAGAACACCTATAAGCCATCCGCACTTGGGTGCTTTTCTTTCCACTTCATTCAGATTCTTTTTTTTAATTAAAGCCATGTTTCTCAAATTAGAAAGATATTTATTTACTTTCATTGAGAGTTAAATTAGGAAATAAATATACTTTTTCTTGCTTGTGTGAGGCTAAAGCCAGCAATTAGCTAGCCTAGCTTCAAACAAAGCTGGAAACAGGAAAGAAATTAGCTTGGTGATGGCTAAAAATGACAATATTTGGGCCACGGCACCTCTGAAGCAGCTCATTACCACAGTATAATGATTTGCTTAGTCTGTATAAAATGTTGTGGTTATAAAGGAGGTAGGGTGCCAGAATGATAACCTCCATAAAACCACAATTTCTCTTTTTTTTTTTTTTTGCACTTGAGCTTTACAGAAATAAATATGCTAATTAGCGAGCTTCAGAGGAGCTAAGAGGTGTTTGCTTTGTTTTGTTTTCGCACAGAGCCAGGCTTCTGTCTTCACACTATTTACAGTATTTAGGCTAAAATAACGAACATAGCACTGTTGGCTGTTAGCCTTATATTCAAGCACCTCCACACATTCAAGAAAAAAGATGCTTTAATTGTTCAAGTGAGAGTCTAAAATTGCATTTGATAAAGCAGAGGCTACAAATAGACGAGATAAAGACACGGGCTGCTCAGCCCGACTGCTCTGAGTGTCTGCGGAAAACTAAAAAAAAAAAAAACACAATGGCTGCTGCCTAGCTTGTCACCCTCTTGATACAATAGCTTGCACAGTGGAACAACCAATTTCCTTCACAAGCGAGCAGTTTGTAGCACAGCATTGTACAGCTGGTCTTTGGGATAATGGGTCAAAGTACTCTGTGAAATACAGTTTGACAGCTTTTCTCTTTGACACAGGTTTATATGCAGTTGGCTGTTGTAACCGTATCACAGCTGTGTTTTCCTGCATTTTCCGAAGTGAATGAAAGTAAAGCTGCGCAAGGCTGTTGTCCCTGTTTTTCTTCCTTACCTCTTTCCCCTTTTGCTCTCTTCCTGGCTCCCTCTCTCGCTGCTGTCCCCTCTCTCCACCCTCTTTTCCTTTTTAAAATTTGAAAGCGATGATGTGCCACATAACCTTGAACTTTATCTGATGCCTACAGTAAGAGGCATTCCCTTTAGTTTTCATTACACTTCATTGGCTTTGAATTCTGCACAAGCTTTTTCCTCCCCCTCCGTATGCATTATCCCAACACCCATTTATGAAAAATTAAATACAGTACCATTGCAAGCAGATGTTATTGTACTCCACCTTAGACATTTGTTTACTCCAAGGGCTTTTTTTTTGGCACTTTTATCTTCCATGTACTGTAAAACCACTTGTGTTGTATTTTCTTTGTCGCTTAACAAAGAATTGCTTGGCAAAATGATATTACTGCCCGTTATAGACACATAGTTCAGCTCCAGGTTATGCTGACTATGCTGCCGCTTTTGCCTAATCAGAGGCAGCTTTGTATCTGCATCGCTGCACCCAGCTCGGACGCTCAATCCCATCTATGGGCTCCCCCCTCAGGGCGATTGACAGTCATTGTGTACACCTTTTGACTCTGAGCCCACTACCTTTGAAGTGGCTGATTACACAGAGCATCTCCTAACTCTTGAAAGTCTTTGCAGTGTTTTCTTTGAGAAAATGCCACAGTAATTCATCACAGAAAGTCTCTCCTTTCTTATGGTAGACCTACCATTTGAAAAGGGGCATGACAACATATATTTGTGCCAATCCATCCATCCCTCAATCCAACCATTGACTTGCCTGTGCCACCCCTGAACTAAGGCGCTCAGGGACCCAGGGAATGAAGGCCATGTGCCAGGGGAGGGTCACTGACGCGCTGTAATCCATTTTGTTTCGCTCCCTTTCCTTAGCTCTCCTTTTTTTTTTCTGCACTGATAGCTGCTACAGTCACCCAGTCTTGGTATCTCCTCCCAAGGAAACTGAGATAAGTGAAGGAAAATGACATGATACGCTCACATTTTAAGGCCGTAGCCGAGTTCTTTTGATACAGCTGTTCCAGCGGGGGCCAATGCGACTAACACGTGTGAAATCAGCCGAGGTGTGAAAGTGGACCGCTGCTGCATAGTTCAACTGTCTTCCTTTCTCTTCTAGAGCTGACATTTGCGTGGATCTTCAATGAATACCCTCACTTTGTCCAACAAGACAGTCGGAGATTCATCTCTCAAGAGACAGGAAGCCTGTACATCGCCAAAGTGGAGCGCTCAGATGTGGGCAACTACACCTGTGTGGTTAACAACACTGTCACAAGGGAGAAGATCCTCAGCTCTCCCACACCACTGGTCCTCAGAAGCGATGGTAAACACGAAATCAGGCTTTCATCTTTATGCTCATATGCCATGCAACTTTAATCTGTTGTCAGACTTCTCTGCCTGAAGGCTGCATTCCCGGATTCATCATGATTTCAGCTCGTTAAGATCTAGGTTATAATTTAAGTTCCACATTTTAATTTCATTATAAAAGCAGGTAATTGATCGTACTCCAGCAAGGTGGTAGGACCTGCTTCGCACTCAACAGATAATAGCTGGGTTGTGAAAAGTCCATTTGGCTGGTGTTTATCCTCCTCCAGCTGAAGAATGTGGAACATTTATGAATTATTAATGCTATTAATATTTGTTTACAAGCTTTGATGACATAAAATGAGAAAGCTGTGACTGTCAAACAATTACAAGTGCATTATTACAAACAAGAAAAATCGAAAGGACAGCAAACGGGATTATTACCAGCCTAAAACTGAGCCGTAAGACAGCAACAGATGAGTTGTTAACCATTAGTAAAGACACGAATTCCAAAGCTTGTCCTTTTACAATGTGGCACAGAGTTACATAAAAGCCACTAATTTCATTTTGTATTCCAGCTGCAGCACAACGCTTTTATGAGCTGGCTTCTTAGGTTGTGTTATTATCAAAATGCCACAAATATATTCTAAGTACAGAGGAAGATGCAGTTGCGTATTTTGCATGTTTTCCTGAGAGTGTGTCAGCTTTATCACAGTCTTTTCTGACTTTTAATCTGAAAACATGAAGAGGACCCCAAATCAGCTTTTACTTAGAGACTGCCAGGTTGTGATTGCTAATAATAAAGGGCAGGCTACTCTCTCTGCAAGGAAGTCACTGACCTGTCCCGGTGATGTGAATGTAAATAAACTCCTGAATGAAGTCACATAGCCAAATGTTATCAATCTCTGCTAAATAAGTCCTTTTATAGCCCCCCTCTTAATCCCCCCCCCCTCCCCCCTCTTTTACAATGCCTTCACTGGTCACTTTGTATTCATATGCATAACTTTTGCATTAGCTGCCCCGCTGTGTTATTGCTCTCTCTCTGCCTGATTCACGGTGCGTGTGAGTCTGCTGTTAATCACTGATGTAAAAAGCTTGTCATCTATTGTCTCCCTTTTGTAGGAGTAATGGGTGAATATGAACCCAAAATAGAAGTCCATTTTCCCGATTCAGTTCCAGCAGCGAAAGAATCAGCGGTGAAACTGGAATGCTTCGCTTTGGGAAAGTAAGTCACTGTATGCCTGTGACACAAACGGTACACACATTCATGCATGAATTACAGCTACTCAAGACGATTTAAGAATGCACAAGCGTTAGCATTACTCATCCTCAGATTCATCAATCCATAGGAACGTATGAAAAAGACAAGGGAGCAGAAGTAAGAGTTCTTTTAAGAGCATCCGACAGCTTGGCAATCACGGATTGATTTGCAGGGAACGAGAATTCACAAAGCTTTTACTTTTTCTAACAACTACTTTTCCTTCTGTCCTTAATCACACTTTGATCAGAGCGAGTGACAGTTACAATCCTGGGAACTTCTTGTTTCTCTTTTACAGCCCCGTCCCAGAAATAAGCTGGAGGAGAACGAGCGGCGTCCCTTTCCCCAGCAAAGTCAAAATGAAGAATTCAAATGCCGTCCTGGAAATCCCTAATTTCCAGCAGGAGGATGCGGGGACGTACGAGTGCATGGCGGAGAATCGCAGAGGCAAAAATGCTGCACGGGGCCGTATTTCATTCCACGGTAAGTGAGCCGTTTCAAATCGAATGACAGTGAGGTGGAGGGACAAATGGAACATATATATCCACAGTTGTCCAGAAAACATGCAGATGGCCAGCAGCTTGAATCCCATTTGCTCGACATAAAACCTTTTTCTGCGGACGTTTGAGGCTTAATGTTGTTGAAATTTCAGAACAAGCTAAGGGTAGAAATGACAAATGGCTATTATTCCAGGGGCTTTAAATTCATTTCCAGTTAATATTCAGATCTGTTTACCATCCCGTGTTTCTCATTATGCTGGTAATCCACTTGTAAAGTTTAAAATTTGATTTAAATTTAAGCTTTAATGCCAGGCTGCTTTTATGGTTGTATGATTCCTGATGCAATTCTTTACTAATCCAGTGCTTCTATAACTAAAACGCATGTTTGAATAGGTAACCTTTTCATTTATTCCAAGCTAAACCTCACTGGCTCCAGACGATGGCGGACACAGCTCTTTCCATAGAGGGAAACCTCTTCTGGGAATGTAAGGCCAATGGAAAGCCTAAACCATCCTACAGCTGGCTGAAGAATGGGGAGCAAGTGATGGCTGATGTATGGAGATATGTTACATTTCTTTCCTTTCTGGCTCAAATTTCTTAGTTTCTAAATAGTTTCCAATTAATAACAAAAAATTGAGCTGGTCTGTACCAGAAATTGTAAATGCAATAATGTTAATATGCTGTGTGTATATAAGTAATGTATGCTAATGGGTACGTTAGCTAATGTATGCTAATGCAGACGTTAGCTATTCTAAAGCCAGACTATGCTTTAGAAAGCATCGATCCCCTCCCCACGCAGCACCGAGACAACTTTATCTGTTAAAAATGATGTGATCTGTCATCATCATCATGATCATCCTGAAAGGTCATGAAATATAAGTTATGTTAACAATTTTTGTGTTCGGTGTGTTTAAGAAGCAGATAAATAGTTTTCACCACTGCACTTCCTCATCTATGTCAAGCTTACCATATGCAGGTGCCAGGTCTCTCTTGGAAATGAGATTTTTAATCTCAATGAGATTTTTTACCTGGATAAATAAAGGATTAATAAAATGCAGAGTTGCAGTAATTGCTGTTGTGCCTTTGGATATAATAGGCTGGCCTTGCGATGGATATGCAGGACTCTTTCTCTTTCCTCCACAGGGCCGTGGACAAATTGAAAACGGGGCCCTTTCTATATCTTCGTTAAACCGTTCCGATTCTGGGATGTATCAGTGTGTGGCTGAAAACAAACATGGAATTATTTATTCCAGTGCCCAGCTAATGGTGTTAGGTAAGATCGCCTCCCTCCTCCTGCTTTTATCCTGCTTATCTGTCTATGCGTTTGATCATCTCCTAAGATAAAAACCAGCAGCCTGCTATAACGTACCTCTGCAATCAGTCTGTGCACGCATTTGATGTCACCATGGGCTTTGCCAGCAAAAATGTGAATCTGATAGAGTGTCTCGTTTTACTTTCAGTCATTTCACGTATTGATTTGGATACTACAAATGCATTGTTTTGTGGCATTGTGCATGCCTTCTCATGTAGACAGGGTATTGATTTATTTGCAAAGCTTTGATGACTTCCATCTGACTGGCTCAATAAGAAATTCAACTCTCTTGATACATGTGATGACACTTGAGTGTCCTAACAATGGCTAACAAAAAACTGATGAGTGCAGACAATAGTTTATGACATGCTTGAGGTGAATGGTGTATTCAAGGATGTGCAGCTGAAGGGTGGGATGACTATGGCGAGCTTTGAGACCAGTAGGCTTTTGTGCTGAGATTTCAGGCTGCTTTCTCTGAAAGCTGAAGGAGAGTTTATCTCAGTACAGCACGGTTGATCTGCAAAGGTTCAGGTTGCCCATATATATATTTTTTAATCTCACACCTTTCTCTGTTCCCCTACATGCAGCTTCACCTCCTACTTTCTCCAAAAGTCCACTAAGGGCCTTGCTAAAAGCTTGCTCAGGCAGCGAAGTCACTCTTGAATGCAAGCCTCAGGCCTCACCCCCAGCAATTAGCTTGTGGAAGAAAGGGAATGAAATCCTGCAGAGAACTGAAAGGTAGGATAAAAATCCAAGTGTATATTACTGGCAGCTTTCATTCGCATTCACTGCAAGCTGACTTGTTTCAATAGTGCATTTGGCATTTGCGGAGATGCATAGAAGGAAAGGCTAATGAGAAGAACGAGAGGGCACCCACCAGGAAAATTGCAGATAGCTCATATACTGCGTGCCCCCTTGTGTGCAAATAGCTCGGTGTGAAGACTGAAGATGCTAGGTGGTCATATCAACACTGTGTTAAATATTTAAGAAGATAAAAGAGTAGTAAATGGAGTTCCCGCTCATCTTGTAAACTGAGGAAGGAACTCTAAAGTAAGAATGAAGCTACTGCACCTGTAATTATCTGTTTTATCATGACAGACAAAGAGTTACAAGGGCTTGATTGATGCAATCACCAAACAGCAGAGACGAAAGCTTTGATGCAGATCGGAGAGCAGTCTCAATAGACAAGAAATAACTCAGAACACAGGCACAAAGACAATGAGCCAACATCAAGTGTCGCTTTCAGTGGTATAAAGTGGTGCTTCATTTAGTTTGGTGCCCTTCTCTGTTGGATTTTTTATTGGATAAACCGGAACGTTTCACAATAAAGAAGCATTTAAAGGTAGAGAATTCCAAAAGCATGTCACGTTTCAGGCTTTTTGTCATCTCGATAGGCAAAAGAATCAAAAAGCTCAGATAGTTTCTAAAACCTCCTGTAAGTTATCGTACGTACATCAAGACTTTGGAACACACGCTCACACACAACAGACAGACTGAATACAAACTCAATACAAAGTCAAACGCAGGCATCCCAGTACAGGAAAGAAATGCCGTTTGAATCGCTCCCATGCTGCCTATTGAAGAGGAGGTCTGAAAAAGAACAATACGAGCAAGGCGTCTTGTCAAAACAGCACAGAGCCTCTTTAGTCGGCTCCAGATGGGAAGCTGCATCTATAGCGGCGGAAAATTGGTAGAATTCCCAAGCTGACTGACATTTAGCATATGTGAAGCCCACGTACTCTTTCAAGACTGGATGTATGCAGACACTGGAAGGGAAATGTTTACTCACATATGCAGTCACGCTGTAAATTGGAGCAGTGTTTAGAAAATGAATTTTGCACACATTTTCTCACTGAATACCACATCAGTTGAAAAATTGTTACAACCATCTGATTTCTATATAAGCTTATGTTTAGCTCATGCCTTGATTTATACATGTTTGGAGATAGACATCTTCTAAATAACTACAGATTTCTAATGACCCAGCTAGTGGAAATAATATAATAAAACTGTTTAAAGTGGGGGGCTTTGCATGTTATTTTTTTAATATCTAGCCAGTCGGTGACCTTTCAGCATGATAGGGGTTTCACACTGACCTCATCGATTTAAAGTCTTTAAATCTGAGTTATTTGACAAATCTTTGAGAATTTTATTATATACATGGCGATAGATGGAAACGTCATTACTATATACAAATCCAAAAAGGAGCTGAACACTGTAGTCCTACTTTACAATCGCTATCTTACCAAATACAGTAAAAAGCCGCTCTCTTCTCAGGATTGCTTTGCTTCCAGATGGAACATTAAAGATTGCCAATGTAACCAAACGGGATGCAGCTAGCTACACGTGTATCGCTAAGAATCGGTTTGGGACGGCAAGCACAACAGGAAGACTGATTGTCACTGGTAAGTCTGGCCTAAAAGTCGAATCGCTCTCAGTTAATTAACCTTTTCACTGTGTGCTCCATCCCTTCTTTGTCATCACACCTGACACGCTTCCCATTCAAGAACTTTGATTTGCCTCTCAAGGCTTGTGCTAATTTTTGCAAACAATGGGTTCTTGATTTCAAAGAGAAGAAAAGAAACCAAAAAAACCCCGTAAAAAAACAGCATTTCATTCATTCCTGTTGAAGATTTTAACTCGGAAAATTAACTCTCGGTTTTTAAATGGAATAAAGGAACAAGACAAACTCTGAAACCTTAGGAAATACAAGCTTTCTTGGTGAGAGTTAAATAAGATAAGAGGCTATTATCAGTCATATGTGTGTACACTAATAATAAAGCTCATGCTGTTTCACTTTAACAAGTGCTGAATATGATTATGGTGGTTATTGAGCGTGCTGGTGGCCATGTTTAAATCGCTGCAAACATCCAAAATTAGATGACAAATACAGTTGTCCTTTACCAGCCACAACAATGCTGCAATGCAGCATTGTGCTAGGAAAGATTGAGTTACAGCAACCATCTGGACACTTGTTTGGACCAAGAACATGGCTAAAAACTTTAACTGTTGGATTTTGATGGGTCATGATCTTGCCACACACGTGTACTCAAACACATGCCATGAAGTGCTGATCCAAAAAATCCTGTAACTGCTGGCAGAAGTTGTGACGATCAGTCTCGTCTTTCAGCTCTTCTAACTGAAATTCTATGAAATATGCACTCATTGATATTTTTAAGGCAGCAGGCATTGTCAAGATTTCTATTCAGAGAAGGACTGAATGGTGAATCAGTGAGTTTGGTAAGACCACAACAAAACCAGGCAGGGCAGAATCCAGGGCTGATGTTATCCTGTACTATGGCGAGTTTTCTGCTCTTATATGCTAAATTTGATTTGATTGTTTATGTTAAAGTAACTTCAAATAGCGTATAGTTGATAAGATTTTCCTTGAAGTATTTCCAAAATAAAAGTCAGCTTTTTCTTGTCCTTATTTTTATGTATTTGTTTCTTTCAGCTTATTGCGTGTGTTATCAAGCAAGGATATTGTAAATAGCAGCTAAAATAACAGTTAAGTAAGCAACAAATGCTTATCATTGATTTAGTTAAAGGTCATTATTTATGAGTGCAATGACATAAAACGTTCATGTAGTCCCCTATTTTTAATCTGTTGTGTGTGCAACTTTTTTTTTCTCATTACTTTCTATTCTTCTCATACGCTGACAGCTGAACCATTTAATGTCATGAAATTTAATTACTCTGACCTTTTGTCAACATATTCTGAGGCCCCCAATCCACCACAGTCACCAGTAAGAATGTGCTCCCATCTCAGTAATCCTGTTTCAAACAACTTTTTTTTTTTTCGTCCAAATTGATCTAGGGAGATAAAATGTGAACCCGCAAAGTCATTAAATGTTACTAATGGGCAAGCTTGGAATTTAAGTGCTTATTAAAATCAGAAAAAAAGCCACATTCATGGGTAATTTAATGACTGTTGCTCGGTTTAGCTGCGAATTGGGGTGAAATGGCAGTTGCAGGGGTCATGGTGGTGTTAGAGGTTTCAGTGGCAGAGATATTATCATGCTTGTGCTGTCATCTGTTGTCTGGCCAGAGCCCACCAGAATCACCATGAGGCCTACTAACATGGAGATTATTGTTGGCGAGAGCATCGTGTTACCCTGCCAGATTGCCTCCGATCCAGCTCTGGATGTCTCTTTCTCGTGGGCATTCAACGGCCAGCTCATCGACTTCCAGCGAGACAGCGATCATTTTGAAAGAGTGGGTGGGGTGAGTCATGTCGAGCATTAAACTCAGATACTTTCTGGCTACTTTGGGATTAATTGGGACACAGTGTGTAACGCGCAAGGGTATGCTCCACAGCCCGGCTGAGGGCTTCATAAACCCTAATAATACTCAAATGAAGAGATTTAGGCGAAGATTTGAAGGTTTCTCTGTGGTCAGTTGTGGACAGAATTTCAAAAAGGTAGCGATATCAGTTACAGATACCGCAGTATCTGAATGGCGGTATCAGCTCTGTAATTGGGATCCTTACCTTTTGAATTGCCTGTGCGAGCTGCCATGTGTTACACCTCTAAAAATATATCAGTGAAATGCCATTTTAGTCTTACAGAGGGCCCTCGTTAATAAAGTCTTTATACTTTTCATCCCTTCAACTTCTAATTCCTGTACCTCAAGGGAGAACATTTTCTTATCATCTCCCTGCGCTGTAATTGAATTTGCATACCTATTTATGAATCTAGAGTCCCGAAATAATTAAGTAATGAGCTGGCTGGCATTCACCAAGGGCAGGCCTGGCACCAGTAAATGTTCATTTGAAATCCATATGCCTTGAAATATTGATAAGTGACGCCTTTTTATTATTTTTTTTGTTGAATATTTGTTCCTTTTGATGAAGGGCAAAGTTAATTGTTCAAAGCTTGTCAGTTTCAAATTGCTATGCACACTCTTTTTGCTTCACATACCGCCGCTTATCATCCGAGGTTTTAGAGTCTGATCACTGCCATTCATGTGGTAATAGTTGACATCGTATCTCAATACGCTCACGGTTTTGTGGACACGGCGCACTCGTTTCTTCATGAAAGCAAATGGCAATTACTAATGACATTGAACTGTGCATAGGCATTTAATGAGAGATAGTTTTCACAGAGTCTGTTTCCCCTGTCCAGAGAGATTACCAACCCCCTGCTCAACAGCTTCTGATGAATTAATTAACATAATTAAAGCAAATCTGCCTCATCACTTCCTTCCTGCCAAGGCAGGAAGCCCGCGACGCATCGCAAGCTCTCGGGTCGGCCAGGTGGCGGCTGACATTGGAAGGAGAATCAGGCATGGCGCTTCAAAACTGTCAGGGAAGAGGAGAGAAGATGAAAGGAAGGGTAAAAGAGAAAAAAAGAGCAAGAAAGATAGTCACTTTATCCCTTGGGCGCATAGAAGTGCCATTCGGCTCAGCTCTGCTTTGTCAGTTGCCTTAGAGAGGTGAAGATCCATGGGTGTTCATGCCCAGTCGCGGCACAGTGGAACTATGATCACTAGCCTTTGGAGGTGATGAGATCTACTGTGACTGCAGTGAGTCTTACCTGGCTCTCCCCCAGGTGACTAGTTTCTAAAGCAGCACACTCTTTTTCTCTGGCTGACATGCTTTGTGACAGGCCACTTCAAGAGGTGACTTTCAAAAGGCCCGACTCCCATCGGCAGTCCAAATGAGAGCGCAGTAATGTTGCCTGGATAAAGCGTATTAAGTCTGCTGACTTTCAATACTTTTCTTATTGCCTTTGAGCACCCATCAGAAAACCCCCAAACAATCAATCAGTTGATCCCCCCCAAAGACCCATCTGATGCCGTACAGTAGCAAGTGCGTGTCACGCTGTGCAAGAGGGCTCTAATAATCTCGCTTTACAAGATGATTGAATGACGCAGACATGCTGAAGTGTAGCATGATAGCTTTTAGGTTAGGTTGTTTCATTGCGATGTGATGAATGCTCGGCTAATTGGAATGCACTGAAAGAATATTTAAGCGAGCTATGAAGAGCTAAATCAGCTGCACAGTTTAGATTCGCCGCGTACGACTGATGAGTAATTTTGTGCCGCGTTTTCCCACATGAATTTTAAAATGAACAAATACTTTCACGGATGCTGGAAAAAAAACTATTCTGATCGCTAACATATTCTGTCAGTACAGAGAAATGAGCTATGCACCGTACTTGCTAGCTGTTTTTAGGAGAGGTGTCTTTGTAGTCGAAAGCACTAGAAGATGTTAGGAATAAAGAATGATTTTCATTCTTTTTGAAAACAAAGAAAAATGCAGAATTACAACCTCATTTTTAAGGTAATTCTGCTTTATGTAGCCACACACAGTAACTCCCCTTTTCCAGATAAGAAAATTAACATTTGCCGCTGTGTTTCGCTGCATGTTCCTCACGGCCATCACATGCATGCAGCCCATGTAAAATAATATTTACTCTTTACACTGGGAGTTAGACTCATATCTTGCTTGAGCTTGTGTAATTAGAGAATAATTAGGATTGCTTTGCCAATTAGCTCGACTGTGTTTGTTTTGTGTGTCCTGTGTGTAGCGGGTAGTTGTTTACAGGGGGTTTGGAGGCCGGTTGGTTAGATAGTGCCTGAAGGACGGCCAATAGGGTTATTTGCTCTGAGTACATCTGCCATGTCAGTTGTTTGTGTTTGAAAGATGCAAAAATCAGCGGCCCGGAGTCGCTGTGATTGTATTGGATGTTATGAAATGTAAAAGCATCCCAGAGCCACAGGCTGGAAGATTAATTAACGCTACATCTCTTACTTAACCTTATTTCTCTCTTTCAGAGCATATCAGGGGATCTGATGATTCGTAACATCCAGCTGAACCACGGTGGGAAATATGTCTGTGTTATTGACACTGATGTGGAAAACCTGTCCACCTCTGCCATTTTGGTCGTCAAAGGTAAGAGAAGGGCCAGATTTCGGTTGCTTTTGTGTGAGCGCCGTAGCACGGCTACCACAGAGCGTGTGTAAAAGTATTCAAAGCAAAAAAAGTTTGACAGAAGGGTGCGAAACATCCCCGAGGCTCTCGCTAAAGATACACGATGGGGAAGCAAAAATGTCTGTCTCAGTCTGTAACGTCAGCTCCTGTTTACAATATATACTGTACTTGTTACTGAAATGCAGTAATGGTGTACACGCTCGCTCTGAGGTAGCTGAAGTAGCTTTGTTGATATGTGCCTGGTGTATCTGGCTCCGTGTACAAGCGTATCTCTGGTGATTTACATTGGTATTCCTGCCCTAAACAAACTCTAATAGCTGTCCCAGGTGCTTTGAGAAGGCAATGTTTATCACAGAAAATGACTGTAATTGGCTCATTTACACACCAGCAAAATATCATGGAAAGCATTTGAATAATGGAGCAGCAAAGCAAACGGCTATAACATGGTAAAGACTGAGCATGTTGTAGTCGCAAACACTCGCTTTTCTATTCTTTCCTTTTTCTACTTACTGATGTCTCCTCCTCATGAAGCACCTATTTCCTTTTCTAATAAACGATCCCATTCACTTTATCTTTCCACAGCCGGTGAACTCATCATTTAAGAATCCCACACTCGCACACATACACACACATAAAGCGTGTACACACCAAGGGCGCAGCCCTTAATTAAAGCGAGTGTGATGGCCTTGATATGTAACAATGTGTACAAGTCTTTATGAGCTTGATGAGAGGAGGCTTTTTTAAATGGGTGCTCACCTTGGGTTCACCCTCGTCACTGTCTGATTGATGCAGGTCCCCCAGGTCCTCCGGACAAGGTATCAGTGGAGGAAATCACAGACAGTACAGCACAGTTATCCTGGACTCCCGGAAGGGACAACGGCAGCCCCATCACCGGCTACATCATCCAGGCTCGAACTCCTTTTACCGTGGGCTGGCAGGCTGTAGACACAGGTACGCTGAAAAGAGGCTTCTGTAGTATTTATTTTGCCTGGATATTTATTTGCTCATCATTCAGTTGGAGTCCAGTTGTTTAGCGTTCAATTATTTTTCTATTAAAGAACTGAATTTCCACTTTGCAGTGCCAGAGGTGGTCAATGGTAACATGCTGACAGCCACGGTGGTGGGTCTGAATGCGTGGGTGGAGCACGAGTTCAGGGTGGTGGCACGCAATGCTGTAGGGCTTGGCGAGCCTAGCCCAGCCTCAGCCAAGACCAGGACGGAGGATGCAAGTATGTACATCAAAAAAATTTAAGCTACACACATTAACAGATATAAGCACCGATGGATCAGCTTTACTTTAAAATGTTCACTTTCTGGGACTCTATGTCTTCCTTGGCAAAAAATGAGTTGAGATTATAGCACAACCACAGAACTGTGGAAAATCAATTCCAAAAGTGACGCTTATTTTATTTGTGTTGGCGGTTTTTGATGTTATTGCCAGTTTGCTTGACGGCGGAGTGCTTTTTTTTTTTACAAAAACACTTGCAATGGTGTGATAGTGAGCTAAAGTTAATATGTCCAAGAAAGTGACTGCTATGCTACAGATGATTTCACAGGAATGAATACCACATACTTCATTAGGTAGAAACGATAAATTGCTTGATAATTAAACTTCAAATCACCCAATCACATAGTAGCAACTCAGTGCATTATAGCATTTTAGATATGGGAAAGATTACCTGCTGAAGATTAACCCAAGTATCAGGATGGAGAAGAAAGGTGAAACTGCTGATCTGCTGGGTTTCCCCACACATCCATCTGTAGTAGATCCCAACCAATATAGGGGTTTTTTTTTTTTTAGGATATCAATACCGATATTTGGTCATTTAAAAAATCTGATATTCCAATATATTCGATATATAACAGATTTCACCAGCATTGGTTATAGGGCTGGGTCATATCATACCGTTAAGGTTGGGCAACGATAAGAAAATGAAATATCGCGATAGAATATGCGCAGGGCCTTTGTTTTCATACAGACATGGCGGAAAAAGCATGTCGGTGACGGAGAATGAGAAGGGTGAAAGCGGATCGTTGAATGAAACGGATGTGCCAGAATTGGTTTGTAAAAATGCTGCAACTTCAGTGGTGTGGAACTGGTTTAGCTTTCGTCCGTCAGATACACAACAAAGCACTATTTTTGGTAGAGCATGCTAGCGGGCCGTTGTTATTACCGTGTTTTTTGGAAAATATGGCACACTTAAACACCTTTGGTTAAACTGTCAGCAAGGAATTTGCATTTGCACTGTTACATTTTTATATAACTTTAATGCACATAAAAAACAGCTGCTTGTTTAAGTGAAAATACATTGATGTTTTTTTTTTTTTGCACTAATAAAGTTGTGGAGTTTTAAAGTATTTTGTCTAGTATCAATTATATCGTCAGTTATATCGTTATCGCAAATTTTCAAATGTATATCGTGATAAATATTTTTGGTCATATCGCCCTGCTCTAATTGGTTATGGTTAGTCATTTATTTACTCATTACCCTGCAGTGCTCGGATCAGCTGGTTAATGTTTTTGTGGCACTTCAAAGCTGTGTTGCCAACAGGGACGTTGCAGAATGCCCTCTAGTGGACAAAGTATGTAGTAAGAATGAACTGTGTTTCAACCCCCCTCTTCTTTACTTTTTACATTTTCATTTGTGGGAATTTATTGCGAATGATGATACCAACAGATAAGCAAATAGGTAATACTACCAATAGTATTCGCTCGTCTGTAAATTTGTCGGCCCACCAAACTGGACAGGAGTTTGGAAACGCGTTACCTGGTCTGAGGAGTCCGAGTTTCAGCTGCAGCATTCCAGTGGTATGGTCAGTTTGGTGTAAATAACAGCCAGCCCTCCTTGCATCAATGGTGTAGGCGATGTTGGTAAAATAGGGTGTGGGACAGTTGTTCTGGCAGATCCTGATCTCATTAGTAACAACTGAGCATCGTTTCAGCATCAGTTTTTTTGTTGACCATGTCCTTGTTTACCTCAAACTGATTTCTTGAACATGACAGGAAGTTCACAGTACTCAAATGTCATCAGATCTCAATCCAATACTTTGGGATGTGGTGAAACAGGAGATTCACATTCATGAATGTGCTGCCAGCAAATCCGGAGCAACTATGTGATGCTATCGTGTCAACATGAACCAAAATCTCTGAGAAATGAATTAAGGCAAAGACTTAAGGCAGTTCTGAAGGCAGAAAGGGTTCCAAACCAGTACTAGCAGGGTGTAAATAATGAAGTAGCTTGAAAAACCAAGAAACTCCATGGTGTTTCCATTTGAAATGTTTTGAAATTTAGAGAGATACACAAGTAAAAATGAACATAAGGTTTGCGATTTACAAGTATTTATAGTGGTTCCACATTTTGTTGTGTTATCGCCTTATTCCAACACTGGTTAAATCCACACAAAATACCCCATAATAAAAAAACATGACCACAGTAATGCTGCCTGTAGGGTTGGCATTGGCCTGGTGATGAGCAGTCCCTGGTTTCCCCAGACATGGAGGCTTGACATTCAGACCAGCAGTTCAATCTTCATTTCATCAGACCAGAGGATTTTGTCCTTCAGGTGCTTTTTGGCAAACTCCAGGCAGGCTGTGATGTGCCCTTTGCCGAGGAGTTGCTTCTATCTGGCAACTCTACCATACAGGCCTGATCGGTGGAATGCTGCAGAAATAGGTGGCCTTTTGGAAGCTTCTCTTCTCTCCACAGTACAACGCTGGAACTTTATCAGGTTCTTGGTCACCTCCCTGACTGAGGCCATTCTCCCTGATAACTCAGGGAAGACTCCTGTTAGTTCAAAACTTTTTCTGTTTACAGATGATGGAGACCACTGTGCTCATTGGGACCTAAAGTGCTGCAGAACTGTTTCTGTGCCTCAGTGCAGTCCTGTCTTGGAGGTCTGCAGACAATTCTTGAGCTCAGTTTTATGTGTTAAAGGCTGTGAATACTTATGTACATGTTATAGTTTGGGCTTTTATTTAAAAAAAAATTGCAAGAATTTCAAGCACATTATCACTTTGTTATTATGGGGTAAACTGTAAGGTTTATACTTTTTCTAAATATTATTTTGCATTTTTGCTACTGATTGGAGTAAAGTCTGACCTTGTCCTGTGTGTTTGCCCCTGGTCAGAATAGAGAAGAACTATCTGGCTATGGACCTTAGATTTTGTGTCAACTGGAAACGGATCCTTCACACTCTTGCTCTGTCACTTTACTAAAAATGAAGCATTTATAGGCTAAATCACTCGCTTTAGAAGTTCACTTTGTAGAAGGAACTAAAACAGCTTATTTCAGACAGAGGATGAACTGAGGCACCAAGAACGGAGGACTAGTCTGAACTGGGAATCATGGAAAGCTACTCTAGTAGAGTCAAAGAATATAGAGCATCAAATAAGCATAACGGGTACGCTTTAACAATTTTAAGGCTTCTTTGATGAGCCTGTCATTTTACTCTATCCTATGTTGCCCCGTCTCTTGAAAATAGCCCCTTTTTAGCCCCTTTGCAGACCTGGCGTACGTAGCTTAAAACATGCATCTTCTGCTTCAGTAGAGCAGCATGCAAAGCCTTAAAGTGTTACAGAAACTCTCAAATATTTTCTAAATCATAACATTTTATATTTTTCAGTTATATTTTTCATATAACTTTGTTTATATATAATGATTGTTTTATTGTAGTTAAAGTTGTAGGTATGGCAAAAAAAAGAAGGATATCAAGTCTGGGTAGGAAAAAAAAGGAATCTCAATTCCAAGCATTCAACCACTCCTGGGCTTCAAACACAAACGCTGCTTACTAAATCAGGGCTCCACTTACGAAAGGATACTATGAGGACGTGCTTGAGTGCTCCTCCACCTACACTGTCGTTTTTTTCCAGCACGCTGCAGTGCACAAACAGCCTAGTGGGAATTGAAAAGGAGTGGGTTGAGTCAAATGTCATTTGCAAAATATTACAAATCTTGGCTTGTGGTGTATGCACGCTGACATTTGGGCAAAGTCTGTAAGTCACTATTCTCTGCAATGCTTGTGTTTGCACAAAGTGGGGGATTTGTGGGGTGTAAAATGGAAGGCGAAGTATCTGCAGCTGGCATACTCGTCATAAGGTTACAAGTCGAGGCTTGTCGTTGAGCTTTGTAAACTGTGTTCTAATTGCTCCCCTTTGGGCTTTACCTCTCAGTTCCCGATACAGCTCCCACTGATGTTGGAGGTGGAGGCGGCACAAAGTCTGAATTAGTGATAACATGGGAGGTAAGTCATCTGTCACATTTTACTGTTCTCTCCATTGCCGGGTAATGGTTTTGCTTAATTGTGCAGAATTGAAAGGAGCAATTTTATGACCCCCATTAGAAGGAGACACCATTCATCTGGCTCAGCCCCCAAGTGCCATTTATTCCTCCAAAAGCAGGGATGGGGACACTTTCTTTAGAAAGAACTGTGCTCTTTAGCCACAATCACATATGAAAAGAAAAGATAAGGTAAAAGGCATTTGTGGAGGCTTCTAGGTGGTGGCAGCTGAGAAAGGGGCTGTGTCTGTTCACAATATCCCTTAGTCGAGGCACAGTGCAGAGACGGGCCTGTCTGTTTTTTTGTCTGTATGCGTTTTAATATCACTATAGTTTTGTGTTTTGCTCCCAGCCTGTGCCCGAGGAACTGCAGAACGGAGAGGGCTTCGGCTACATCATCGCCTTCAGGCCTGTGGGCACGGTCACGTGGACGCGAGCGGTTATCTCCACACCCGCGGCGCGTTACGTCTTCCGAAATGACACCATCCCACCCTTCTCGCCTTTTGACGTCAAAGTGGGGGCATACAACAACCGAGGCGAGGGGCCCTTCAGCTCGATCGCCGTCGTGTACTCGGCAGAGGAAGGTAGGGTACAGACTTCTCAGCCTGGCGGCAGAGAGTGACGCTTAAATAAGCTATAATCTCTCTCCTTATAACCATGACCTTGAATAGTAATCATGAAATGAGCTGCTTTTTTTCCAGTGCTGTTATTTCCTTCCACTCTCAAGCTGGGAATGCCAACTTGATATTAGTTATCGTGCTGGTAGATTACAGGAAATCCTAGCAGACTCTTACCACACCGCACTGTCAGGGAGGTATCCTGTTAATTGAATTTGCCGGGCAGATAGTCTTCCCTTATGTCAGTCACAGATCCCATTAAAAGAGAGTGGGGGAAATAGCTTTTCAGTGAAACTACAGGTCTATTTTGTGCCTTACCTCTTATTGCTATTAGTGTGTGTGATGGTGTTGGATGAGTCTGTGGGATTCTTACCACATTTCTGCTCTATTTCTGCAGTCCCCAGTGTGGCTCCTAAGAGGGTTAGGGCTAGAAGTGTGTCTGCAGCACAAATTGAAGTGAGCTGGGAAGCTCTTCCCACCATCCCTGAAAGAGTGCTTGGATATGAGGTACGAACTGCTACAAAATCATATTCTTTTCTCTCTTTTTTTTATTTCCCTTTCAAATAACATGATAAGTGGGTCTTTCCCGGTGCCTTGTTTATCCGTCTTATCCATTATTTGTTTTTTTTTTTTAAATGAGTCTCTCTCTTTAGCTTATGATATTCTCCGGTATCTTTGCATATATCTCAGAAGAGATTTTGTTTAATGCGTTACCATCACAAAGTGATCGCAATACTTTGGCACCCCAACACTGAACCCATGAGAGGAAAATAAAAATCCCTCATCGCTTCAAGAATGCAAAGAAGGCTTTGCTGTTTTTAGTCTCCCTCCTCCTGTGCTCTTTCAGTATCTGTCACCTCTGGCCCCTTGCACAAAGCTCTGCAGTTGCCATAGTGCTGGCCACATTGTGCTTTCAGAACAGAGCTCAATTCTCCAAATGTGGTTCTGAAGTGGATTTGGGCTGCTGAATCTCAATAGGCCACCAACAGTATGGAAAGCAAGGACTACACGTGTGAGGCACTCAGCTTTTAAGGAGATGTTGTTGGGCTTGTAAATTCAGTCGACGTTCAGATTTAATAATCCTGCTGAAAAGATTTGATTTCTGATCTTTATTAAACAAATTGGAAATACAACAATTTATGGGCAATTGAAAAACAGGGGTATCCCGTAGGACAGGCTTCACATTTCAATTAAATGAGGGTCATTAAAGATGACCCACAGCAAGCGGCAAGTTTGCTTTATCAAATATCGCGTCACCTGCACCTCTAAGTGTTGGCTAAAAGCCTGAGGGAAAGTTAGCTCAGCATCTAGTTTTACAGACCTGATGCTTTGCTAAACTAAAGTATTCTTTTAAAAACAATATTCTCAAGATTTATCCATAACCTCTTTTCTTTAAGATCCACTTTCCTTAGACTTAGAAAGACTTAAGGCAGAATTTTTGATCCTGGGTCAGTGATCATATGGCTCTCTAGTGCCCTCTGTATATAAGTAGGGCGGCTGAGACTCAACTAGTGAAAAATGTATTATTCACCACCTCCTCCCCCTCCCTTTCTGTAATACAAACAGCATTTCAGATTTCACGATGGATTATGAATTTTAATAATGCAATGAAATGCACCACTTGAATCTTTGCACCTGGGAGCCTGACATTTTTTTTACCCTTCTTCTCCTACCAGGTCATGTACTGGGAAGATGACACCAAGCCTGACACTATTGGCAAAGTGCGCTTATCTGGAAACTACACGCTGGTTAATATCACAGGGCTGAAAGCAAATACGGCGTACTACCTGTCTGTGGCTGCTTTCAATACGGCTGGCCCTGGGCCACAGTCCGTGCCCATCAACAGCACCACAAAGAAACCACGTGAGTCCATCCCCAGACGCACATTGAAAGTATCTTTACATGGTAACCTTCAGTTTGGCATTGGACTGTCCTCACCATGCTGGGTGTTGCATTTGTTCAGCTTTACTGTTAGTGCTCAGACTGTTCCTTTTTCCAAACAGAAGTAGCCCTAACTGCGTCACGCCTGCAACAAATCCAGGAAGTCGTCTTTAGTTTGGCAAATCTGTTTAAACAGCCCCTGCAGGTTTAGACCACATTTGTGCTTATTTTTTCCTATCTTTGTATGCTCTTATGTTTTTTCCTTACACCTCTGAAACTGGTCATAGCCAAAAGCTGTCCCCCTCTGAGCTTGGCTCTGCTGGTGGTCTCTGCTTGTGGACAGTAGGGAGTCCCCACTCTCGCCAAGAGCTTGCTTATAGGAGATCTTTGTCTGATCTTTGGGGTTCTCTTCTATTATAAATAAGCTCCTCTGAGATGAACTGGCATTATAACAATATATATAAAAATATGTGAATGTATTTTGGAAATCTCAGAATGGAAAGAGCAGGAAAAACTCTATTCAGTACACAAATATCGATAACATGGGGATAAAAATAACAGAAAAGAAATTTGTATTCTCCTCATCAGATGAGCAGTATGTCATGGTCCGGGTGTGTGCCAGTGTGTCTCCCTCCGAGCCGGCGTCTCCACCCCTGGGAGGGGCCTCAGTGTTTTTGCTGATCGCTTACATCTGTGGGTAATTAGCCGGGGACTCATAAGGCCAGCGTTCTCAATCTCTCTTCGCCAGATTCTCTGCTAAACATCACTACACCTAACTGTCAACCCCTGGCGAAGAGCTTCTACTTGGATGCTGGACCTTCTGGCAGTCCCTCAGGCTATTACCAAAATTACCTACCTGCCTCTCTGCCTCCACGCCAGGAGTTTTTGGATTTACACACCCGGACTACTCACCCCTCTATGTCATCTCCGACCTCCGTTGGCAATGACCCCGACCTTTTCCTGGACCCTTTGTGACTTGCTTTCCAGTCCAATCCCCGGAATAGCTGTCCTCTCTGACCCAGACCAGATCGTTATTTAGTTTAACGTCTACGCTCACCTTTTGTTTATGAATATTTTGTGTAAACATTAAACATTATTCTTAAAATATACTTACGAGCTGTTCGGCGTCTTGCGTTTGAGTCCTGTCACTCGTCTGAAACGGTCTCGGCCGTAACACAGTATACAAAAGAGTAGTTTTCCAGTTTGCATTAGGACATCAAATTTGAAAAATCAAGCAGATTTCCTTTAAGAATCACTTTCTGATGGGTTGGGCAATTTTGTTTTATTCTTTTTACCCTCAAGCAAGTCGAGAGGATTGTTAGCCACTACCATGGATATGAAACTAACTCGTGGTATTCAAACTTGGATCCCGAGTCAGCGATTCATAGTCAATTGAAAAGTCAGTTCAAATATAAAGATAAATGTAATATATAAGGAACATTTATGTCAGTAAAAGAAGTGCAGTGTGTCCAATATTCTTTTTACTTTATCTTTGGGCCCCAGATACGACTGTGCCATATCACATTATGACAACGCTCACTTCTCTCAGGGTCCTGCTACTGCATGGCTCGGGTTATTAGCCAGCTAGCTAAGCTGTCGAGCACCAAGAAATATTAGAAATAATGGCATTAAACTTAAACCCAGCGAAATCTCTGTTAAGTTTGTGACACGGTCCTTGTGTCTCATGTGAGGAATCCCCAGAGTGTCTGAAAAAAAAAAAAAAAAGAAAAAGATAAAATAAAACGGGATGAACAGTCAGGATGAGGTAGAGCTTGCCAGTAGGAGTTTCCAACAACATTTTCTCCTTTGTTAGGGCTAACCTGACTCCAGCTAAATGACTCACTGCCTCTGAGATAGGTACAGTCAGGCCTTCCACTAGCATTAGTTTTGGGACACCAACAGTTTTCTCATATTATCACTAAGTGTTGTCTACAGTGTAGTTTATTGACTTTGTTGGAAATTCAACAAAAACCAAGAATTTGAATGTTTCTCCAGAAAGATGCTTTTAAAAAAAAGGCAACCAGCATATCCTCTGTATACTTACTTCTGATTTCTTTTGTAGCTCCAGATCGGCCTCCGCTCAACATACAATGGAACATGATTGGCTCCACACTTACGCTGCACTGGAACCCTGTAGTAGCCATGGAGACAGAGTCAAAGGTCACTGGGTATTTGGTAAGTCCCACTATTTTGCAAAGCTGTGATTTATCTCCAGAAACAATAATGTTGGTGTTTGCATTAGCTCATTTTCCGGAGTCACTCCCCCTTGCCTCAGGTGATGCTGAAGAGACATCGCTACAATGACATCCTTACTGTGTTGACCAACCGAACCACTGCTGAGCTCAGCCTCTCAGCCAACGACAACTATCTCATCCAGATCAAAGCCGTGAGCGAGGGCGGCGAAGGTGTGGGAAGTGAGCCTATCCACATCCATAAATTAAGTGAGTTTCTTGTTTTTTCCTTTTTTTAACCACTGATAAATCTTACAGGTGAATTCATAATTTAGAGAGAGCATTAAATTTTTCTTCATTACATCCTTTTCCAACCAGGTGTAATAGACAGTGCGAGAAAAGCGACCTTTTTAGAAATGCGTGCACGGTGTCATCCATCTCTGCCATTGGGTTATTATTCCTTGTTGACTGGCTGCTCAGCGCAGCAGCATATAAAGCAGTTCTGTGCTCCCATCCCGCTGCTGTGCAAAATTGTGAGGCAGCTCGATTTGGCGCTCTCCTCTTTTGATATGATACCAATTTTATCTTCTCGGGATACTTAGATAGCCTCTCCTGTTGAAAGGCACTAATAATGTAGATATAGGAAAGTGTCACGCTCGGTTTTTGATTTACGATGACTTGTCAGAAATTTAGAGGATAGCACAGCAGAGTGCGGGTTTTCTTCCTTTGAGTTGAGAGGTAGTTCTGGTTCTTAACGAGCTGCTCTGTGGGTTTTCGGTTGCAGGTATGGGAGCGCGGGGCTCAGGCGCGAGTCACCTCAGCCCGCTGTGTCACTCTGCAGTCCTCATCGTTGCTCTGCTCCATCTGGTGATCTTTAATCACAGCCGATGGAGTGCTCTCCCTCTCTCCCCCTCCATCCCTTCAGTCAGCCTGTCCTATGTTAACCCTCCACTGGACTGGCACAAGGCCCGGGTTTCAGCGGCTGGACTGGGGAAGGCTGGAAAAGACCGGACTGCGCCAAACTCTTAAAGAGACCGTGCCACTTCTTCTTAAAGGACCATCAGATAGAGATGTGATGATTTGCGTGCATGAAATCTTTTGGTATTTTTTCCAGTGTCATAAGTGCCACCGTGCTTTAGGTTTCATTTTAGAAGTTCTGATGTCTACATGACTTATCTTAGTATCTTTGGAGATACTAATGCCTTAAAACCGACTTTACATATATAGTCCATACCAAAGTAGGTAACAGAGGCTGCTTGTTTTACCCTATAAGAAAAAAATAAGTTATTGTCTCAGCAAATTGATATAATATAACGATAGATTGCATCCATACTTGATCATCTCACAAGTCATTAAAACCACACTTATCCAGTATTTGTGCAGCCTTTTCGAACAAAAACATCCATTGCAGGCTTAAAGTTCTACAAGGTTTTGTCAAATGTGTGAAAGATGAATAGCCAACTGATCAACTGTGTCCAAATCCCACTTAACCTGTGCACTCAAATAAACTTAAGACTGTTCAAGAGCCATAGGCTCCTGAGCTAAGTTCCCCCTCCCAGTACTCTGATAGATCGTGGCATTTTGCTGTGTTTCATGCTCCTCTAAATAATAAATACCTATCCACATTTTCAGCCTAGCAGAAAAAAAAAGCCCAGATTCCAGAGAATAGAAACGTTTGGTATTTCAATGTCGAGCAGATCCCATGTGTACTGTTCCTCCTCTACATTTAGACGACCTGTATACTAGATCAGTTCATCGTATCGAGAACATGTACCATCTACACCCCAGATGACCAGCTGGCCCGGTGCACAGTGGACTTTGGGATAACAGTGCCTTCGGTAGAGGTATATAAATTTTTTTTTCCTCTTTCTTTCCTCTTCAGAGAGCTTAGAAGAGAGATTCGTGTTGCAGCAGAGGTATTGTTTGCTTTTCTTTTCTGCAGAAATTAGTTAGAAAGGATAGGAACCTCGGCATGTAGAAGAACCCATTATCGGAAATGGTATGTTGATTAAATTTTCATTGACACACCGGAGCACCTACGACAAAAGGGGATTGGAAGCTTTAGGAAAGCCGCAATGGATTGAGATAAATGACGGAAATTCTGGTCTCAGTATTTATGGTCTGTGGTATAATAAATGTATGACTCCATCCGTAGCATAATTTATGGGCTATTAAGGTATCAGAATAATTGATGCGAATACCGTGGTGAAAGAGCCCTGACTGGAAATGGAGCAAAAGGCATGGCTGTCATTTTACCCCCACCTCATCGCTGTCGGTTGGACACATACCAAGCTGAACATTAACAAAGGAACATTGCTGCTCTGCTGAGGGAGCTACTTTTCACGCCTTTTTATCATGTGGATGAGTCTGTCAAAAGCCACCCAAGTAAAAGCAGAGGTGTGATTGCTGGGGTCCTGACAATGTTCACGTGGAAGGATACAGTCAACCCAACTGCTACACATTACTGTGCCTTTGCCGAACACGGGGCTGCGTACGGTTATTAGCTAGAGACTGTCATCGTCTGCATTTTGCACTCTTTACTCCCCCTCCCTCCCTAAAGTCCCCACCTCAAAGTCGAATGAAAGCACAAGGAATTGATGCAAGGTGACTGGATGTCCTCACTTAAATGTCTGAGCAGGTGTGCGGACCCCAGCGGCCTCGTAAAAAAAGTCCGACATAATCAGGCTGTCCTATCCGCTCCTTGACTGGTTTCATAAAGCGCCGCGCTTGTTGATTAGACTGCTGCAGACCAGTCAATGGGATATTGATTTTCCTGCCCCATTATTACAGCTGTCACAATTCAGCTGCTTGATTGACTGATGGCCGTGTTCTTATTGCACTTGTTGTGTTACAGTCAGTGATGTTTCAGATGTCCTCCACTACTTTTCTCCCTATCGGAAGACTTCAAAGACATTCTTTTTATTTTCTGTTGTTGTTGTGTTTTTGGTTTGACTAGAAATCACTGTATTTGCTCCGCTTGTAGTGTACTTGTAGATTGTGACTTTGAATTGGAGCAGTGACCTGAAATTGATTAGCTGGTTTATTCTTTTGAGTTGCACATCAAAACAAACCCTGTCGTGCTCCAGCAGCAGTACTACTGTATCTTTCTTTCCAAGAGCAGAAAGGCCCGGTCACACCAGCATTTAAAACGGTGAAATTTCAGTTCCAGAGCAGTTCAGGCTTGCTTTGATCAGTGCAGTCACTTTTCTTGCCTTGAGTTAAACACGGGTGAATTTTTGGTGGCGCTGACATTGCTTACAGCATAAGAATCCAAATAGGGGGAGCTAGCCTGGCTAATTTACTCTGCTGCACTATCAACTTTTATTTAACTGCAGTATGTTTAAGTGTATCCTGCTCAACAAAAGATCTGTTTCTGTGAGCTTCAGTGGTGCGAATCCTCTCTCTTGCATAAACTGTGTGTCCTTAATGTCCCATTATGACAGTACTAATGACCTGGCAGTTTGCAATCTAGCTAGCTATTTTTTTCCCCGGGTTGGAGCTAAATTGGATGAGCCAGCTAAATACGTTTGTGATTTTATCTGATTTAAAGCATAAATGGATTCAGCAGGCATGTGCACCCACCAAGGCAAGGTGGGTGCACATGCCTGTTTAATCTATACTGTTTAATCTATAAGTGCTGTACAGTATACAGATACATCTATCTGTATTCCAATACTTAAATATGATGGACAGTTTGCAGCTATGTACTAAAGTAAAATTTAAAATATTCTCCTATGAAAATGAGTTGGACCAAAGTATCTGAAATTATAGTTCACGTACAAGAAGAAAGTGAGAGTCGTGGCATTTTCCTTTGCACATTTCGTGTTTTTGCATATTATGCATTTTGCTGCATAAACTTTACATGTATATCACATGATTTTTACTTTTGAGGTGCTGACCTTTTTTTTCATAGCTCTTCACTAGTCTGCTTTGATTGTCAGGCAAGTCTTTAATCATATATGTCTCCCTCTGGAGCCAATCTAGTGCCAAACCTTTTCTACCATTTGGTAAGTCTTCACTGAGTGAATCCTCGGAACAAGATAACAGCGTGGAATAAATAACCCAGTAGACAGAAAGCAGAAGGATTTAAGAGCCCTAGCTCGAGCGTGGTCCTAACTCCACAGCATGTCCAGTAATTCACAAACTGGCCAGTCAAGCTGTGATGCCTGTTTTATGAATTTGGTGTGCAGTTTTCTGGTGTGACCGGGCCTCAAAGCAGCTTGCGTGTTTCTGAGTGGTGTTAATATTTCCATTAATATCCAAATAAGGTAACCTCATCGCCAGATTGCAGGCTAAAAGGTTATTAATTTACAGTACGTAATTATGTGGCAGTTTCTCAAACTGCCTTTTATTTACATAGACGTAGTTGAGCCTAATGTGTAACGTCTGCTCATGTTCACATAAGAAAATTAAAGTATTGTTTCTGACCTTGTGCTATAAAAAATACTACAAAGTACAATCTGAAGAAATAAAGGGATTATTGGAGTGGCTGAAATGTATTGAACACAGAGCAACAACGTATCTATTTATATCCATTCAGTCATTTCAGTCAGTTTGGTTTTTTGTGGTTGTTGCTAGAAGTGCACCAGGTCCAGTGTATATAGCTTGCATATATTTCTTTTTTAAATATGGCCATCAAAGACAACCTTACTGCTTTTCTATAGTGTGTTCTCTGACCTTAATACTGGTGTATTAATCATTGATCTCTGTGAGATACTGACATGTAGAATGGCATTTTCATATTGAAAAGTAACTGTACTGTCTTGTATACTAAAATTGTGCATGTTAATCATTGTTTGTGAATTTGTGTTGAGTTTTTTTCTAAAACTATAAGTTAATAAAAATGTTTATTCCAGCTGCTGGTGTTTTCTCTTGCTTTTAGCCAGTTACTAACATACAAGGAGCTTTCTTTAATTTGGAATCCAAAACAAGGACCCCAGGGGGCCCCCGAGCCCTAAAGTGCTAGTGAATGTTTGGTAATTTGATTGATTGCATATTTGTATGAGAATTTGCTACAACAAAGTACAATAACAACTAAAAGGTCTATGTTATTAGCTGAGCTATTCCTGAGTGTTATTATTGTTGTTTAAATTGTTCTCAGCTAAATTAAGTTTTAACAGAATTACCACAAACTGACTAACACCAATAAAACCTGCATGGAGCTGGGATGTGTTTATTCCAGCTGGGATATTGCTTAGTTTCTGAATCTCAGGGCAAATTATGCAGTTGCAGTTGTCACTATGTGCAATGTGGAATTTTGCACAACAGGGTTGCTGTAAACACTGCAAAAAAAGGAAGCGCAGAAGGGGGTCAACGGGGACCACTGTGCAAATATTTGCCCCAAGCATCCTACCAGGTTAATCCAGCTAGGTTAAATGATATGTAAGAAATCCTTTTAACTGTGGAAAAAGGGATATTTTTCTATATCAAAAATAGGCCTCCCCACAGAATTGGGATTTTGTCAGTAGAATTGAAGGAGGCCACATACAATGTCAGGCTGCCGTAAAGCTTTGTTGGATTAATGAGCCAGGGAGCACGTGTGTTGCCGTTGGCTGTTCAAATCAAACTCATTTAGCTTCACTTTAAACAGTGTGTGCATATTAAAGAAAAAGATTAAATTTACAGCAGTTATGAAATAACTCGCACCTCATCTGAGCGAGACTTGGCAGTTTCTAATGTTATAGCGATATTTGCTGTTTGTAAAACATTCTGTAGTTTGTGCTGACAGATTGTAGTTATATTTCTTTTTCGTTGCTAAAGCATTTATTTTGCCGATGGTAAGTTTTACTGTTCAGCCCAAGTGCGTACTGATAAGTGGTGTGTGGTAAAGTTTTTCTTTTTTTTCCTTCCAGCAAACCGTACACGTTTGGACACCTGTTACACTGAAACTAAATTGTGTCCAGATGCTTTATAGCTGATTAAAGTAGCTTGATCATTGCTATCACCGTGCACTTCACATTGCCTTCAGCTGCTTGTAATGTTCTTATATGCTCAGGTTGCTACAACACTGGACCTACATCACGCAGGTTCCTTAGGGGGAAAGGGTCAGCTGATAACAAGAACAGGCTGTCAGAACAAACCACATTTGAGCTTTACTCTTCAATCATCAGTTGTGATATCCATAAACAAGCCTGCACTCTCCCATAGGTCAAAGCTGTTATTATGAGCTACAGTCACATTCTGAAGTTAATCGACTTCTCACTGTCGTGTGATGGAGTGCATCTCTGGCGTCAGACTCGTATAAGTTGTTTCAGGAACTCTTCCATGGGTCAGTTCAGACTGAATGGCTAATATGATCACTTAGTTGAAGACTTGTCGAGACAAAGCGACAAGCTCGCCATGAAGACTCCGAGGCGTTCGATTGAGGCGTCAAGACTTTGACTTACAGGGGTCGGCCCTAATCAATACTTATCACAATATGGCAAATGAATCCTTGATAACAGCATTTCAGCTAAAAGGCTAATGATTTAGTGCCATGCAAAACAGACATTTGGAAATACAATGAAAAAATGGTTCACTTTCTAAAACACAAGAACTCCAACTAAATTTACTCTAAAACTAAAGATATGTTATTAAATGCAAGGAAATTAAAGAGAGTTACACATTAGGAATCTTTCTAGTCATAAAATAAAATTTTATGACCCAGTTTTAATCCCAGGCCCTACATTTGTAGCACAAAAAAACACATAGATGCTGCTGTTGATAATTCACAGAGGGACTTTGAAAATATCAAGCACAATGTAACGAGTAATAAGGCGTTTTAACTTTACATAAATGGCAACATCATAGTAGTGCTTGATTAAACTAAAAAAAACTCCTTACATAATCCAAAGCAAGACGAGGAGAGAGCTTCTACTTTTGGGATTCACACATCGCTGGCAAGCAGGTCTTTTTAGTCAGTGAGATCTAAACAGGATTACTTTGTGCTACAGCAGTTTGTAGAGCAAAGGAGTGTTTCAGAACATAATCACCCGATTCATCAAAGCCCAGCTTTGCACTGCCTTCTCCGCTGTGCATTTTCCCCATCATTAGCCCGGCACAGGCACAGTATCTGTGAAGAATAGAAGTTCCTTTATTTTTGACCTGGGGTTGTCTCTAAGTAATAGACAAGCTGTGGGATTTGAACTCGTGCTTTTTCTTCAGAAAAGGTGCCTCATTTGCTTTCACCCTTTGTTGACCTCCATGTTTGAGTTTTACACTATTTATGAGGAACTGCAAATTATTATGCATATAAATGATCGCCACTGAAAATCCAGTTGTAATGAGATATATATGAATGCTTCTTTAGAGCAACACCGCTCGCGCTCTCATGGCTCCCTTTACTATTTCCTCCAAATTTCTTTCTTTCTGTTTTTTGTACACGTGACACAGCATCAACCAGAGGGCTGTTTCAGATTCATAAAAAATATTATTAAAGCAAAGGGTTTTTAAAACAAAATTAAAGTTCGCTTAACTTTTTTCCTAAATTAGCCCCAGCAGTAACACCATTGCACTATAAGCATTGTTAGTTTTGGCAGAACGCATTTATTCGAGCTGAGATGTTTATGAATAACTTAAGGTCACTTCATACTTTCAAATCTATCCCCGATTCAGTGTGTGTGCATCGGGATTTTATAATTAAAGTGCTCTGGTCTTTCACACAGAATCACTCATGTGTTATTCATGGCAAATGATTACAAAATTCAATATGTGTGCTTTCAAGTGACAGAAAGACAGCAATTTTCAGTGGTATGTTATCTCTTCTCTTCCCCAAAAATGCTTCATGTTTCTGAAAATTAAAAGAGTCCGACCTTCCTCCCACGTGACCTCTGCTTTATTTCAAAGAATCAGAGCGACTGATTGGTTAAAAATAAAAATAAAACAACTGCGCTTTGACGCAAGCCGCAAAGAGTCTCAGGCGTCCTTTTTTTGACAGGAGACAAAAGTTGCTAAATGAGATTCGTTTCATAGAGAGACAGACAGATAGATCTATCCATCCATACCTGCCACGTATTCAAGGCTGTGAGTGCCAATGGGTATCTTATTAATTAAACAAAGCGAAATGTCAACTTGATCACATATTCATCAAACAGGTTTTTGAGGGAAGTGCTAATCATATATATGTTTTTCTTATGGCAATTAACACAGCGGACATTGTTAAGGCTAAATGGCTATTAGCATAAAAGATTCTAAAATGATCCCATGCATTTGCAGATAAAGACTTCAGCCACAGTGAGTATTTATGGATTTCTTTTTAGCACCAGCACTGCTTTGTCCCTGGTCATTATAGACGCTCCATCAGTGTTCACTAATTAGGAGGGCGCCTTTCTTTACAGACGACAAGGGAAGGGACACAAGAGGGAGGTTTGGAAATTAATCATTGAGGTTTATTAATGAGGGGGTATCGGCCCTGTGTGGCCCAAGAACAATATGAAAAGGAGCGATCAGAGGCTAGCTCCATCCATCACTCTGGGAAGTGCGTGGAAGCCACCAGCAGAGTAAAGCTTTCAGAGGCTTTCAGAGGCAATCTTTAATGCGGGCACAAGTGAAGAAAGGAAAATCATTAACTGAAATAGCATATTAGCTGGACCTGATCCAATATTAACATTTGCTATTGTTTCTGTTTGAAAGCTCCGGCTTTTCATCACCGCTTCCTACAAATTTGATGGCGCTGCTTTACTTCGACTAGCAAATTAAGGAGAGATTCACCGATCGACCAGGAACTGTCACGGTCTGCGGAGGCAGACCGTGCGGGAATGTGTATGGTGGACCCAGGTGCGAACACAAGCGAGGATGCAGGAGTGGATTTAAACAAAAGCGAGCCTTTTATTATGGCTGATGAAAGGAACAAAACAGAGTGAAGGCAGCATATGAGTAGTAGCTCAACAGAAACCTAAACTGGACAAACTAAGGAAAGGCTATGGCTGGAAATACGGAACACAGGGGGTGGGAACACAGACGACGCGACACAGACTGTATGAAACACAGAGACTAAATACACATGAGGGATGATCAGGGGAAGTGGATGCACACGGGGAACACAGGTGACACTGATAATCATAACAAGACACGGCAGGAGTGAACGTAACACTGATGGGAGATGGGCAAAGTAAAACAGGAAGTACACAGAGGTTCAAACAGGAGGAGAGAGAGCACGGGGAGAACGCAGACATAACGGGCTGGGGAAAACATAGAATAAAACACAAAGAGAGACGAGGGCTCATAAATACACAGAGGGGCACACAGGGGGTCAGAGTCACGAAGGGAAAACACATAAGGAACAACGTAACAGATCAACCTAAATAAAGAACAAAATACAAAAATACATGAAAACTAAGAATACTGGGCCCACATGGCCCAGGACCATGACAGGAACACCCAATGGAAGGTTTTCAGCAGGGTTATTATTCAGTTATCTGTTGAATTTATAAACATACTGGAAAATGATGAAGGTGCCTGACATTTGTTTTGCTATATGGATCTGTTCCGCCTGCTTTTGTTTAACAAGGTAAAAAGTTTCAGCTAAAGGTGCGTGCACAGATCTCACTTCTATTTCATTGTTTGTAGCTCTTTCCAATAGCACTGCACTTTATTTTCAGGTGTTTTTCTAAGAGAAGGTTGTGTAAATTACTGCAATTTAGAGAAAGAAACAATTGAAGGGATGGGCAATAGAAATTTTGCTACTGTCAGGGGGACTGTTGCTCAAGCGGTAGAGTGGGCTGTCTACAAATCAGCATGTCAGTGATTTGTTCCCAAGCTTCTCCAGTCAGCATTTCAAAATATCCTTGGGCCGTTGATACTGAACCCTGAGTTGCCTTTGATGCATCCATCAGAGTACAAGCAAACCTTACACGAAGGTATAGAAAGAGTGCTTAT